AGTCTCTGGAGTTTGTAGAATCTACAAGAGCTACAAATCACACTCTTTGGAATATTTTTGTGACAGTGATAGATCTCTATTTCCATAAAATTCTGGTAATTTCTGTAACATTCTAAAGTTCCATCCTGAGAATGTTCTGGAAATTTAGAACATTCTACAAGCAGTTTGAAAGACTATACAAGACTACGAGCAAAATCAGTTTCATTAGTTTACTGTGTAGTTAAGTAGAAACTCTACTGATCCTATTACACATCTCATTCAAAAGTTGAAAGTAAGAGCACAAGCATGTTGCATAGAACCATTTCATTAGTTTACTGTGTAGTTAAGTAGAAACTCTACTGATCCTATTACACATCTCATTCAAAAGTTGAAAGTAAGAGCACAAGCATGTTGCATAGAACCATTTATCCAAGGGTTGAGAGAAGAAAATATAGCTAATGTGGAAGAAAGTAGTGGATGAAAAAATTCTTCATTTGACTCTAGAATTAGAAATATTTGAAAAGTAAGCCCCACCACAGAGACGGCAAAGCACTGGTCAAACCACTGGTGATATTGTTTTGATTCAGCAACTTCTGTAATAAATTGTTTTCCATAAAATTATTTTTTGGGTATTGAGAAGCTCTTTATTATTAGTTACCTAAATATATAAACACTTAAACAAAATACTGCTGTTTTTAGACTGGGATGCTAATGAACTTCAAGTGGTATCAGTATGGTGGAAACTGACAATTATTGAAGAGTACTTCAAGTGACCAGAATTATTTCTTTTTTTTTTATCTAACTACACACAATAGAAACAGACCTGGAATGTAATCAATATAATGCGAGATCACATAATATGTATACGTTTATTTTACAGTGGTAAATGTTCACTGTATAATGTGCTATTTTGTTTACTGCAGTCATATTCTTCACAAGAATGTTCACAATATAAAGTTAACTATGTCATATGGATATCTAATAATAAAGTGACTGTGTGCTTTGTGTTGGAGCAGTTTGCAACAAAAGCATCCACAGATGACAAAAAATGGTGGATTGGGTAATTCCTTTCCAATTTTTGTATGGTAATTTGTATAGTATTGAATGACAAAGAATAGCTCTACAAAAACAATGACATTTCAAAGAACCAATAAATGATATACGTATGTAACAAATTACAAATGCAATGGAGATTGGAATAACTGTACCCTTCAAACATGAAAAACTATTCCACAGCTTTAACTTTTCCCTTATTAAAATTACTTTTAAAAAGTTCTTAAACAACCCACCTGGTTTCAAAAAAACTTCATCACTTATACCCAAATCTCCTAACTGTTCCTGCTGTTGCTTACTTATATCCATATCTGCACAAGAAAAGTAGCTGGCTTCTGCTTCTTGAACATTTATATCAGTTGTTGAAGGTCCTGCACTTTCATCTTCTGGTGAAAATGAATTAACATGTTTCTTTAAATCTTCTTGAATGTTAGGAAAAAGAAAGAAAATATTAGTCCTTTCATAACAATGAATGTGCTAAAAGGTATACAATGTTTAGATTATTTTGGCACACTTATGGCTAAATGTCAAATGCTGTCTTAATATTAGCAGTTTTTCTTTGTGCTTTTCTTTATCTAATACGAGCCTTAGAATTAAAGAGTAAACCACATATGCAAAAGATGTATTAAACAACACCATACTATTTTGATTTTTTAAATATTGTTGGCTTAGGTTATGCGAGTTTTGTTATTAAAAAATATCACTCGAAGACATAAAGCACACTAAAGACTTATCAAAATAATGACAAAAATATTTTGGTTGTCTTGAAATATAGAAAAAATTATATTTAAAAATATGCCAAACAGATTTCAGTAAAAAGCTCATACTAAACCTTTTACAAAAGTGTTTATTCAGTTTCAAAATTTTTTAAAGATTGAAACAACAAAACAATACAAAAAAAATATTCATAAATACTAGTGGCTTAGAAGTCTAGACAAACACAAGCTACAATTCTATGTTCACAGAGTTATTTCAAAACCATTTTCAGATACTTTATTAATATATACTAATTGTACATGTTTTCATGTTACTGAATTGCAAAAAGTATAAATATTAGGGTGGTCCTTATTTTTGAAGCTTTTTGATTTACAACACTTCCACCCCCTCATTTTGTTCCAATATATAAATAAGTAATTCAGACAGAATTCTACCCATATTGAATAACATTTAGGGGTTGCTCAAGACAGTTGAAATTTTATCTTTGCATTTTCTGAATATTCTAGAATGTTCCAGAATACTTGAAATAATTCTGAAATGTTTTAGCATATTCTGGAATTTTCCAGAGTATTCCATATTATTCAGAATGTTCAAGAACATTCCATATGACATGACAGTAGTTTTTAGAATTTCTATGAGGGTATACAAGTATTTAAGCAGATTACTCTGTATCAGTTGACACTGTATTGGTGTATCATTGCAAGTGGATACTACAACAACAAGTAAAAACTAAACTTTGTCTACTTAGTTTAGAAGAAACTGAAGTAACAGGAAGCAAAGCACCTTCCAATAGTCAAGTGCCATGTGTGTGTGTGTTTTTCTACTATCATAAAACATTAAAGACAGTTCATGAAAGCTCAGAAGACTGTGGTCAAGAAGGCTGAAGCTTTTTGGTACAAAACTTAATTCCATTTTGTTCATAACATCATGCTATTATCAAGTTGGAGAAGCTTTCTGAAAAATGGGCAAAGCTAAAGACAAATTAAAAAAGAAAAACTGAAACACAGTGCACTAATGAAGCAGAGTTGTCAATAATCTGGAAGACTTTACTGACATCACTCACAGGGATGTCCTGACCCTTATCAAGATCCAAGAAGACAAGGACTTTCTTCTTGCTCAGAGGGAAAGAGGACATTGTGGGTGCATGGGCTAGGTATATAATGTTCTTTCTTTACAGGAATCAAGGGCTGAGAAAAGAAGTCAGGCAAGTAGGGACAGGAAATGGCAGGCAAAGCAGAAACAACAGACCTTGAATGAAACTATCAGTTGCTGGGAACCATCCCATAGCAGTGATGATGAAGCTGGTGGAAACAGTACCAATAACAGTGGTTAGGATAGAGGAGTAATTGGAGAATCATCTTCTACTAAACCTAAAAAGAGGCCAAGAAGAAACAGAAATATTATCATTCCCAATTTAGCAGCAGCTATGAACAGAAACAAGTGAGAAAAAGGCAACATTCATTCTTACTGCAACAGCTCACAGCCTTGGTCATAATCTATTCAATCCACCAACTGTTCTTTGATCCAAAAATCTCAACATCACTTACATGAAAAACTTGTCAAATACTTAAAGGAACAGTGATAACCAACAGTCTCACTTGTAGTTCACTGGGATAGCAAGCTCCTTAATGATTTCACAGAGAAATCACAAGTGGATTGTTTGCCAGTGATCCTGTCTGGATCAGGAGTAAACCAACTCCTAGGTGTTCCAAAGTTAATTTCTAGCAGTGGAGAGGCTCAAGTTTCTGCTGTGGCACATTTGCTGGAAGAGTGGGAAGTCATTGATCATGTAAAGGTTGTTTGCCTTAACACAAGAGCAAGCAACATTGGCCACAGAAATGGAGCATGTGTGCTGTTAGAACAAAGATTAAACAAGAATCTTCTATATTTGGTATGCTGGTGTCATATCTTAGAAATTAACCTGGCATATGCTTTCAAAGACTGTATGAAGCTTTCCTCTGGTACAGATATTGCAATTTTCAATCAATTCCAGCAATCTTGGGAATACATGGACCAGTCCAATTATGAAAATAGCTGATCATATCATGATAAAGTAGCAGAAGCCATAGAGAAAGTTAAGGACAGAGTTTGCTACAAGTCAACCAACCTAGAGATGATCATTGAAAGCTTATTGAACTAGCCATAACCTTTCTTGGTGCATCCTTTCTCGTGGAGTGCAATTTATAACTCCTGGAGCACGACAACATGCATGATAGATGGCCAAGGCATTATATGTCTTAAAGATATAGTTGTTCATTGGACAGTTTAAGCTATCTGGCTGTAAAGAAAGAAACTCCATGACATCTGCATCTCTGTAGTTCGAGTTTATCTTAGGGTATAGTTAAATGTTCCTGGTGCTATTTCCATTCCTCGCAATAATTGTAACTTCCTATAATGTTTTGTTAAGTATAAGAAGGTGAATTCCGCTTTTTCAAAACTTGTCAGTCAAAAATCTACTGGACATCTACGATAACTCAATGAAGAACTCATTGGTTTGGCAGTCTTTGTTTCAGCTGTATCCACAGAGACAAAATGAGCAATGAGAAAGAAAGCATGGGTGAACCTCTAAAGCACATTCAGGTGAATATTAGGAAGTCAGAGCTCAGAGTGGACTACAAGGAGGTACTACAAAAAGTTCAACACTTGAATGCAGTAAATCACAATGCTGAAAGGGATATGGTCCTTACTGAGGAGTATAATTCCATTATAACAATAAAAGAAGAACAGAAACAATTCCTCTTTCAAACTTTGCAGAATCATAGAAGACACTTTCCTGATAACAAAAAGAAAACAATAACAATGCAAAAGTAAGTAACTACACCCAAATCATATAATTATGTAACTATACTATTGTACATGCAAAAAATAATAAACTTTAAATAAATCACATAACAAATATATTATATATCACATAGTACATACAGTACCATGCCACTGCAGTCTAGAACTTCAATCTCCAAAATAGATGAAGTTTGATATTTAATGTTTTTTTGTACACTGGAACAAAATTATAGAACTTTAGAATTGTTAACCTGCACATAAGAACCACCCTAATGAATATGCTCTTGTTATAATTTAGAAAAGATTTCCAGAATATGTTCCCCACCTCATACCACAAAAAAACATATTATTCTGAAATTAGTTCTCTTGTTGTGGATTTTGTAGTTCATGCGAAATATGATCAATTACTTTACTCTCTCAACAGATATTTACTACCCTACACTGGGATATAGGCTGAAAATGATATGGACTATGACATGTTCATCAAACATGGAACTACGTAGATCTATTAGATTATAATTCATTTTCCTGTAATGTACTATAAAACTATTCAGAGGTTCTTAAATGCTTAACAAGACAGTTTTGAGACCCCAAAAATCCATCATTCTGAATACCTGTTTGTAGCTTGCTGGCAGGATCAGTTTTCATGTTACTTGGAGTTGAGGAAAAACCAAAATCACCAAATGAAGATCTTGCCAAAAACAAGTTACCAAAATCAAAGTCCTTTACACTTGTAAAACTTGCAGGGTTTATTTCATCAAAGTACTTATTTATTTGTTTCTGTTGTGATTGAAAATTAGATTTGCATATCTTGCTGTCCAACAGCACATCCTGAGACTTCAAGTTCGACGAAGTAGGAGCACTGCTTGATTCAGCATTAGAACCATCAAACTTATGGGTCTGATATGATCCAAAGGATGAAGATCTTGCTGAAATCTGGTCATTTCGAAATTCAACCTGTAACAAGTAGGATACAGAAGCTGGTTTTTACCATTTAATATCAAGATCAACCACATGACCACTTTGTACTTATTATAGTTTCAATACAACTAACTTTTAATATAGTATGGGTATCTTCACAAAATTTGGCAAACTTTCAATAAACATTATATATATATAAATGTTTATATATATATAAAG